TTGTTGGGTTGCAGAACTGAACCACACAGTTATAGAGGTGCAGATGACAGACTCAACAATTCCTCTGTAGAACTTTATCAGCAATTCCTTGGGCAGTTTGAGCTTCCTGAGTTGGCTCAGAAAGAACATTCTTTTTATGATTTTTTGATGATGTTTTTGATATTAGGTGTCCATTTTAGGTCTTGAGATATGATGGAACCTAAAAAATTGACAATCTCTATTATTGATATTGTGTTGTCTAGTATTGTAAGAGGTGGAAGTATGGGAGGGTTTCTCCTAAAGTCTACCAGCATTTTTATGGTTTTGAGTGTGTTTAGTTCCAGGTTGTTCTGGTCACGCCACGAGGCTAGTTGTTCAATGTCCCATCTGTATGCAGATTCATCATTGTCTTGAATGTGTCAGATCCGTGTATCTGCCATTCTTCGTGGAAGAAGGGGGGGAATTTGGAGTTATTTTTCCTGTGTGTCCTAAGTATCCTATTTCCTGCCTGATCCTCTTTGTATAAACTTTAACCTGATTTATAACCATTGCCTGGCACCAGGAATGCCTGGAGAATTCTCACACCTTGAGAAATGAAAGGGGAGAGGGAAATGAGTGGATTACAAGATGACCCTGAGAAGCTCTTCTTCTCTGTTTCTCAGAGAAGCTGGTACAATTCATCTTTATTCTAGTGGATTGGTTAGAATCCACATCGCACGGTGGGGAAGGGGTTCCTAATTCCCTTTATCCTGAACTGCATGCCCTGAGGGACCCCAGACCCTGCTTTGAGTTTTGACTTGCTTTCATCCCTTTCAATAAAAGGCTCCTTTTGAAATACAAAGTTCTCAAGAGCTCGTACTTCCTTGAAGGTGGGGGGGGAGAGAAGCTGGTCCTTATAGAATGAGACCAATCACTGTTGTATCATCTGCAAACTTCAGTAGTTTAACAGATGGATTGTTTGAAATGCAGTCATTGGTATATAGAGAGAAGAGAAGTGGAGAGAGCACACAGCCCTGAGGGACTCCTGTGCTAATTGTACAGGTATCTGATATGATTTTGCCTAGCTTCACCTGTTGCTTCCTGTCTGTCTAGATGCCTGAGTCACAATCTTCTGGGTTTAGTTGGGATGAGTTGGATCTTGTAAATCCTGAGGAAGTAGGGTCCTTCAACTACAAACCCAGCCACCTGTTTATCATATCCATGCCCTTCCTGGCTTGTAAAAGTCTCTTAGGACTGACCTGACTATGTCCATGTGATGATGTCAGTTTCTCCAAGAGAGAGGGTGGTGAAAACGGAATAATGGTTTTTATAGATCTTTCAGTGGCTTTCCAGTGATATCCTTCTGGATTGGGGATTGAGAAAGGGAGGCACAGTGTTGCAGGGGCTTATCCATTCTCCTTCAGGCAATTCCAGACAGTGTTGGCAGGGAAAAAAGTTAAGCCCAAAGCTCTTCACTTGTGGGATATTTCAAGGTTTAATATTGTTGCAGCTTCATGAGGCTCATTCATTGATTTAATGCTGGTATCATTACTGTGCTGGTGATACCCAATGTATATCCAACTCTGGCTTATCCAAACAATAGCTGTTGCTTTTCTCCATATCTGGAGTCTATATAGGAAGAAACAGACTTAATCTTAGCAAGACCGAAGATGGATGATATCTGGCTTCCCTACCCTGGAAATTTTCTATCTTTAGTCCTGAATGGGGTAGCACTTTCCCATTTGGGACAGCATGCAACCCAGAATTTTTTCCTGGACTTGCAGCTCCCGCATAAAGAACAAATAGCAGATGGGGCTAGGAATATCTTTGCATAAATCCATTTATGTCTGTTCCTGAACCAGGAAGCACTTCAGGCAGTCCCTGATATTCTAATCACCTTGTGTGTGGATTGTTGCAATGCAATTGAATACCGTTTAATGCTTCAAGAATGCAGTAGCACAGGGAACAATGAGGATGAGGTCCTTACAAAATACAAGTGGGAGGAAGGGTACTGGCATCTTACTGCTATGTGTCCTTTCTCATTTATCTGTAGTAATCCTTTATGCAACTGAAATAATTAGAATATTTTATTTGGACTGCATATTATATATATGTAGTAGCTGCATGTCAGTCAGCTACTAGAAACTGGACAATTTAAGTTTTAAGTTGCCATGAATTCACCTGGGTGATTTTGAGCCAGGCATTCTCAGTCTTAGAACGAAGGCAGTGGCAAACTGCTTCCAAAAATGTTGCCAAGAAAATTTCAGGACTCATCCAAGCAGTTGCCAAGAGTCAAGAATGACTCAAAGGCACATACACTCATTACTTTATTAGATGGCAGCCTGGACCATACATTATTACATTATTCTTAAGGTGCTTCTTGTGACTAAAAGCTAATTTACAGGAAAAAAATTGGAGACATGGTTTAAGTGAGGGCTCTAAGACTTCGAAATATATGGTGGATTAGCACTTAGTATCAAAATTTGTATGCTATCAGAAAAAATATAAGAAAAGGCAATAAAAATCTGCTTTGGTTTAAACTTGTGTGTATGCACACACATGTGCATCTATAAATATGCAAGCACAATCTTGGAAGAAAAATGTTCTTGTGACTGAAATAAAAATGTCTGTTTTAAGATGGTGCTAATCATATCTAATTTGATCCATATTTATACTTCAAATTTATTTTTTTTTAAATTTGAATGGCATGCTAATTAATTAGAATGACTGGAATCTAATTATTCACTGTCTGTTAATAGAAGTTTTTCATGAGCAGAATGAAGAGCACAGATTTATTAGCTTCAGTGCCCCTAACTCAAAAGGCAATATGTTTCACAAAGCTAGGAATCTCACAGTGCATATGTCAGGTCCCATGGATTTCTATAAGGACCCTGTCATTCTGGTGGGAGGGGGGAGGCTTGGGGGGATCTCCGTATGGGGTTTCTGTTTCTATTCCTTGTTTTGCTTTGTTTTGGGACCTTGGAATATGCCTTGAGCCAGCTGCCTTATCTTGTCTCTGGAGAAGAGCAGCAGTGCTGCTCTTCTCTGGCATTTATCACCTTCTTGGCCTGAGTTTCCCATTACATCTTCACACACTGGGATTGGCTCGATGAAGTATTGGACTTTGGGAGGGGCTCTGTTTTAATGTTTTAATCTAATGTTCCAAGTGGGAAAACTTAATTCCTGCCTAGATCTCTTGCTATCACAATCTTCCAATAAAAGTTTCCTTTTGAAATGGCTTTTGTTTCAAGAGTTCTGTTTTCTTGAGAAGACTGGTGAGGCAGGACCTTACAGCATATATGGAACATGCAGAAGAATAGAAGCAAAGTTGTATGGGAAAAAGACTTGTGACAGAACAAATTGGAATTCTCTGATCATTTTCACTGGGATTTCTAGTCAAATGAGTAGACATTTGCAAGAATAATCAAGCCCAGGAGTGAGTTCTACTTACCTTTACTACCGCATGCATGCACATGTTCTTCTGTGCATGTGCAGAAGCTTCTGCACATGCGCAGAAGCATTTTGATGATATTGGGGTCGGTGGGTGGAGCCTCCCGCCAGTTTTACTACTGGTTCTATAGAACCAGTGCGAACTGGGGGCAACCCACCACTGATCAAGTCACATAAAAATATCCAGAATCAAATGATTCAAAAGAACAAGTACAGTTTATATTGAAGAAGTGCCATTCTATAGTAGAAAGCCTGCAATTCTGTCTTCATGGGAAGTTGTGAGACAAGGAAAAGGAGGAAGCATTCTTCTTTTGGATCAAAACAAGTAGTATAGGCTGAAGGAGATAATCCAAGAGTCATCCAATCAGGAAAATAGAAAAAAAAATACCTTAATACTTGTAGTAGTTAACAGGATAACAAATGTGAAAAGTCTCTGCCTTTGGAACTATTGTATATTGTATTGTATTCCATTGTATAAATTGGATTTTATCAGTATCAAATTAATCAATCAAAACATTATGAAAGTCACCACTGTGATTTGCATTCTCTTCTTGAAACTATCTACAGTAGTGACCATTTAGTGACCATTTAAAGTTACAACAGTGACTTATTTATTGGTTCGATTTATATGCCGCCCTTTTCCGGAGACTCAGGGCGCCTTACAATGCGTTAAGCAATAGCCTTCATACTTTTGTATATACCTGCTTAGTAGGGCTTCCCCCCCTCCACAAGCGGTGTTCTTTTTTTTATATACAAAGTCAGCTTATTGCCCCCACAAACCGGGTCCTCATTTTACCTACTTCAAAAGGATGGAAGGCTGAGTCAACCTTGAGCCTGGTGAGATTTGAACTTGCAGTAATTGCAGGCAGCTAGTGTTACTTAACAGTGCTTTAGTCTGCTACGCTACCAAGGCTCTTTACTTATGACTGTTTTGTACATGTTGGCATGTATTTATGATGTATTTATGATGGTTGCAATGTCCAGGGATCATGTGATCACCTTTTGCAACCTTCTTACAAGCAAAGTCAATATAGTCAGATTCACTTTGCAGTTAAGAACTGCAGTGATTCACATAACAACTGTGGCAAGGAAGATCATAAAATGGGGCATAACTCACTTAACAATTGTTTTGTTTAGGAACAAAAATTTTGGGCTCCATTGTGATTATAAACCAAAGACTACTTGTATAAAAAGAGCTGTAATAACAGCTAATAGTTTATCATGTTTTTCTGTAAGAAAAGTTGGAGGCAACACAGATTGGCTTAGTTTCCTTGTTAATATCAATATTTCATATACCGGTAGCATAGACGATTAAGAGTATCTAGAGTCAGATGTTCAGGGTCAAAAGAACAGAAGAGTTATTAAACTATAGTTTAAAGTTCTAGACATTAAAGAAGTTTCTGTCAGATCCCTAAAAGTGATACTGCCATTCAAGTGGAGGAAGGGGGGACTTGGATTCAACTTACTAGCATGGCCTGTGTCATCAGATATTTTACAACCTATATCCTGGCGCCAAGAAAGCCTGAGATTCCCTTTACCTGCAGGAATTTTTATGATAGCCATGTGGGTTGTCTCACTTTAGGGTAGTGGGAATGCATGTTTGTTCGGGTTCTCAAAGGAAATAGTAAAGAAAACATCTTCACACTTGTGTATTGGCTGAAATCTGCATTCTGACTTAAAGGGAGGGGTCTCTACCACTTTAATCCTACTGCTTTGCCTAAGGGCATTCAGATTGTGCTTTAGCTGGATGGTTTTCATTTCTGCTTAATAAAAGAATCCTTTTGAACAACTACGTTTCAAGAGTTCGTACTTTCTTAAGTTGGAAGGACAGGCGATCCTTACAGAAAGCACAATCTGCAAACGGTCAACCCAGAGAAGCAATCTTTGCTCTACTGAGGGGACCTTGCAAACCATGTCTGAACAAAGCAGAGAGCTGGGAGAAACCGATTGCTGGGGAGAGACAGCAACTGCCACCCAGTCAGATGCCTGTCTCGTGCAACCCATCGGAGAGGATGAGGTAACCCTGGGGAATCCAGAAAAACCCCGCTGGTCGATTGGCATTGGGAAGAAAGATGGCTGGGATGAGAGAACCAGAGGAGTCACCCTCAACCGTGGCAACCAAAAACCGGGGTGGAAACTGGAACTAGAAGCCCTTACTGACCAGGGGGGGCTGACAGAAGCACCCCTGAGGGAGGACTATCTGAAGAGGCATATAACCCAATTGGTGATGGAGACTTTGGAAAATCTTAACATCCGAAGGGCACCAGGACAACAACCAAAGAGCACTGAAAGGGCAGCAGTCATGGATGATGCCAGGGGAGGCACCCCCCTCCTGGAGCCCACCTATCGAGCAGATGGTGCAGCAGCAGCGGGAGAAGACCCAGCAAACCCTCCCCCCCAGGCAGCACGCACACCAGCGCCCATTCCCAACCAACCCCGGGCTCCTCAACTGGAAAGAGAAACTCCCCCCCCCCCGTATGTCACTGCCGAAGAAGCTGAGATTGATATGGCCAGAAACCAGTATCGAGTGGGGCGAGCATGGAAGAAATCCTCACCCCAATGGAAGCAGGAGCCCCACAAACCACAAACCGCATTCTCCCGGAGATCTTCAGCCTGTTTCAAGTGTGGAAAAGAAGGGCACCAAGCTGCAGAGTGTCGTTCACAAACACCCGCCTGGAACCACCCACCGGGGGAGGGTCCTGAAAAACCGGGTTGGTGTGGGAAGGAGACTGCTCTGAGGAGCAGGCAGACCACAGAAGTTCCATCCCCTCCCCTCTTTGGGGAAGAAACCCTGGTATCTGAACAGGAGGAATCACACTCGTTCGGAAGCGATCCAGATGATGAGCCACTGGTAAGCAAACAAATCAAACCACTTACCCTCCCCTTAAGACTATTTATCCCAAACCAGGACAGGGAAATAAGTATCCCCACCCTAGTGGATTCAGGGTGCACCCGTTGTTTGATCAGCCCAACCTTAGTAGGGAAGTTAGGGATTAACGTAAGAAAGCTGAAAACCCTCCATTGCTTTCTGCCAACTAGATGGGTCAATAGCAGGAGGGGAGCCAGCTTCTCTGGCCACTGTGCCTCTACATATAGGTATCAGAAGCCACGAGGAAAACTTACCTTTATAGTGGCACCTGGCATGGAATGGTCATTGGTTCTGGGCCTTGCGTGGCTAAAAAGATGGAACCCACAAATCAATTGGAAACAAGGCATCATAAAATTTCAGAGGAAGGTGACGTTTGCTGAGTATCCACATAAAGGACTTGAGGGGGCAGAGAATCGAGAAACAGCCATGCCTGGTCACGCCACACCAACTGAGGGCATACCCATAGAATACAAGGATTTAGCTGAGGTTTTTAGCAAAAAAGCCTCAGATGAGCTCACCCCCCCACTGCACCACTGACTGTGCAATAGAAATCTTACCTGGCACGAAACTCTCTAAACCCAAGATGTACAGCATGTCACTGAGGGAGTTGGAAGAGCTGAGAACATTCATTGAGAAAAACCTAGCAAGGGATTTCATCGAGCCAGCCCGACCAAAAATTGCAGCCCCAGTGTTGTTTAGAGAGAAAAAAGATGGTTCAAAATGCTTATGTGTTGACTTTAGAAACCTTAATACTATCAGTGTGCAGAACATGTATCCTCTCCCCCTTATGAAAGATATGTTAGCACACCTCGCTAAAGGGAAAATGTTTTCAAATCTGGATTTAAGGGAGGCTTACTACCGTGTCAGAATTAAGGAACGGGATGAGTGGAAAATGGCATTTAACACCCCCCTCGGCTGCTACCAATTCAAGGTGCTCTCCTTTGGGTTGCAAGGAGTTCCTGCAGTGTTTATGCAGTTAATAAATGAAGTGCTGCATCAGCATTTATATAAGGGGGTTCTGGTCTATTTGGACGTCATTTTAATCTATACCGAGACCAAAGCAGAACATGTAAAACTAGTCAGGGCAGTTTTAAACAAACTCTGCGCTGCCAAACTTTATGCCAAACTTTCCAAATATGAATTCCATCAACAGAAGATTGACTATTTGGGATACCGCATTTCACACCAGGGGATTGAGATGGATCCTCTAAAAGTGCAGGCTGTACTTGATTGGGACCCTCCACACACACATAAACAGTTACAGAGCTTCCTGGGGTTTGCCAACTTTTACCGCCAGTTTATCCCTGCATTCACTCAGATTGCCCTCCCCATCACCAAGCTCTTACAAACAAAGGGGGAGGACAACCCTAAACCAAAGCAACCATTGAACTGGACTATGGAATGCCAGGCAGCATTTGAAAAACTTAAACGCTGTTCTCAGCAGAACCAATTCTAAAACACCCGGACACGGAGAAACCATTTGCCATACAAGCAGATGCCAGTGATGTGGCAATAGGAGCGGTCCTGCTTCAGAAGAATGAGCAAGACCAACTACAATCCTGCGCTTACACATCCAAAAAGTTGAATGAGACTGAGCAAAGGTGGGCTATTTGGGAGAAAGAGGTGTATGCAGTTCGTTGGGCATTGTTAACCTGGCGGCACTTCCTAGAAGGCAGTAAGACCCCTTTTGAAGTCTGGACTGATCATAAAAATTTAGAAGCCCTAAAGACCCCAAGGAAACTCTCCCCAAAACAAGTACGATGGTCTCAGTACTTTAAACGGTTTGATTTTACTCTAAAATACCTCCCGGGGGGAAAAAACTTTCTGGCGGATGCGCTATCCAGAAAACCGCAATACATTAGTGCAAGGTCAAACATAATCAAACCTATAGCACAAAACAATCAACTAGCTGCTAAAGTAGTCACCAGATCCCAGGAAAAACAAGAAACAGTGACAGACAATGACAAACCCCCAAAATTTTAAACAAGTATTGGCCACTGATGAATGGTTTTTGAACAACAAATCCAGCTGTCTGATGAAAGAAGACTTGGCTTGGGTGGGGGAGAAGTTGTATGTCCCTGCAAGCCAAAGACTATGCTTAATAGTACGGTGCCATGACTCCAAATTAGTTGGACATTTTGGGTTTGTGAAAACTTTACACCTGATTAAAAGACAATTTTGGTGGCCATCACTAAAAAAGGACATAGAAAGCTATGTAGCTAGCTGCCCCATTTGTGCAGCAGCAAAAAGACGCCAGGGAAAATCCCAGGTCTATTGCAGAAGGTAGCTGAACCTTCATTGCCTTGGAGAGAGATTGCTATGGATTTCATCGTGGAATTGCCAAACAGTGAGGGAAATAGTATTATTTGGGTTGTGACAGACCTACTTTCAAAACAGGCACATTTGATACCCTGTCAAAAGATCCCAACTGCTAAAAGTTTAGCCAAATTATTCCTAATACACATTTATCAACTTCATGGTGCTCCACAAAGGTTCATCTCCGACCGAGGGGTTCAATTCACCTCCAACTTTTGGAGGGCGTTTTTGGGCTTACTTGGTACTGGGCAGGGGTTGAGCACATCTTTTCATCCTTGTACTAATGGTAATTCTGAAATTTTGAACTCGGTACTAGAACAATATTTAAGATGTTTCATTAATTTTCAACAAGATAACTGGACCGAATTTTTGCCTTTTGCTGAAGTTGCATTTAATAATGCTGTACATTCAAGCACTGGTTTACCCCTTTTAGAGTAGCGACAGGCCAGGATTTCAGCCCCATGCCTGAACTACCCACAGAAGAACCCACCATCCCCTCACTTAAGGAGTGGATGGATAATTTGCAAAACACGTGGCCAGTGGTTAGATTAGCCTTACAGGAAGCTAGAGAAGCTTTTAAGATTCAAGATGACAAGAAAAGGATGGAACCCAAACCTTTTCATATTGGAGACAGAGTATACTTATCTACAAAATTCTTGAAATCATTACAACCATTGAAGAAATTAGGGCCAAAGTTCATTGGACCTTTCCCCATCACTAGAATCATCAATCCAGTAGCAGTTGAACTACTTCTTCCAAAGATACTCAGGCAGATCCACCCAGTATTCCATATCAGTTTACTCAAACGAGAAGTAATCTCATCCCTCAGACCACCTGCATCTACACCACCTGTTCCCATCATGATTGAAGGTGAACAACACTTTGAAATCAAGGAAATCCTTGATTCTAGGATCCACAGAGGGAAAGTCCAACACTTAGTTGCTTGGAAACATTTACCATCAGCACACAATGAATGGGTCGCTAAACACCACGTTAGGGCTCCAATCTTACTGAGAAAATTTCACTCCCAATACCCTAACAAACCTTATTGATCTACTATCATGAAATCTTGAAATCTTGTGTATATTTGTTTTTGTTTTTTTACAGATGGACCCTTTTGTTTTCTAAGGAGGGTAGCATGTCAGATCCCTAAAAGTGATACTGCCATTCAAGTGGAGGAAGGGGGGACTTGGATTCGATTTACTAGCATGTAAAATATCATCAGATATTTTACAACCTATATCCTGGCACCAAGGAAGCCTGAGATTCCCTTTACCTGCAGGAATTTTTATGATAGCCATGTGGATTGTCTCACTTTAAAGGGTAGTGGTGGGAATGCATGTTTGTTCGGGTTCTCAAAGGAAATAGTAAAGAAAACATCTTCACACTTGTGTATTGGCTGAAATCTGCATTCTGACTTAAAGGGAGGGGTCTCTACCACTTTAATCCTACTGCTTTGCCTAAGGGCATTCAGATTGTGCTTTAGCTGGATGGTTTTCACTTCTGCTTAATAAAAGAATCCTTTTGAACAACTGCGTTTCAAGAGTTCGTACTTTCTTAAGTTGGAAGAAGAGGCGAACCTTACAGTTTCAAGCTATGATAAAAAGATATATGAGTCCTTGGTGACTCTGGGCGAGGAAAAGTTCTCACGTTGTTTTGAAAACAGACTAAAGGGTTTTCCAGTCAGAATTTTCCAGTCAGAGGAAACAATCTATTATCGAGCCTAACATATTAAAGCACCAACAGTGTAAAAAATTCTATAAATTTTATGTGTTTTATGTCAAGATTCTATAGCACAGACTCTTGGAAACTACATAAAAATGCTTAGCCTTCATACAATTTAATTTATTATTATTATTATTATTATTATTATTATTATTATTATTATTATTATTATTATTATTATTATTATTATATAAACAAGAATGAGAAATTAGAGCTGCCAGTTGGTGTTGACCTTCATATACATCAAGGTCTTCCCAAGAACCTGGGATGTTGTATAATATCAGCATAGTATATGTGTGAATCCAAGAAGTATGGTCTTTTGTAATTGATATATGAAAATTTTGTTAATTTTGTTTTCTAAATGCAATCCAAGATTTTTTGAGAAAGCAAGCCAGTATGCTGATAATCACTGAGACAACCACAGTCAGTTTATGCTATAATCTTTCTATTTTGATTTTTCAGATCTTGTGTGATCTTCTCCAATTCTTTGCCTTCTATTTTACTATCCCTGGTATTGTCACATCAGTTATTCACACTTCTTTTCTTTTCAACCACAGTTACAGCTGATGTGATATCAACCAAAACTTACATAGAATTACATAGAATCATAGGACTGAAATAGACCTTGGAGGTGTTTAACCTATCACATACATTTTATAGATTTTTTTTTTTTACATAATAACAATGTAAATCCTTTAGTCCGTGTTGGCTATGCTGCACACATGAAAGAAACATATGAAAACATGGAACTATCAAGTACAACTGGAATATCTATGGAGATCTAAATGGAGTGACTCTGCCCATTTTGAATTCAGCTCGGATATGCCAATTACTATGATTACATATACAAATAGGACAGCCATGCAAGAAAGTCACTTTACATTGGAAAGAAATGGCCACTTCAAAAGAATTTGGTCCCAGAATTTGGCACATAAAACACT